GCTACCTGGGCTTCTGCAAGGCCTGGGCCCCAGGCCATGGGAGACCTTCCAGTCCGAACTGATTTCGCAGATGGCGCTGAGACCCAGAGGAAGTAAGTGATGGACTCACTGGGCCAGGTGGGGGAGCACAGCCCAATTCTCCTGGGCCCCAATCAGTGACACTTCCACGACATTCCAGGCATTCTAGCAGAAATTGCTGAAATTTCTTTTAACTTCTCATTGAATTGCCTTGGTGCCTTCATCAAAAATCACTCAACAGCATGTATGCGTGGGTCTCCTGCTGACCTCTCCATTGTGTTCTTTTGACCCCTTTTCTTCGTTAATTCTTTGCTGGTGACAACACTAGTTTGATCGTTTGGGCCTTAGATGGGTTTTTTAAATCAGTGTCAGTTTTTGAATGTTGTTCTTCTTTTTCAAGATTATTTAGACTACTGTAAGTTCTTTGCATTTCCACAGAAATCGTAGGGCCAAGTTGTCGGTTTTAAAAAAGTGTGCTGTGATTTTATTGGGGTTGCATTGAATCTATAGATCAGTTTGGCAACAGGCTCTTTTTTTAAATTTTTATTGAATTTATTGGAGTGACATTGGTTAATAAAGTCATATAGGTTTCAAATATACAGTTCTATGATACATCACCTGTATATTGTATTGTGTGTTCACCACCCCAAGTCAAGTTTCCTTCCGTCACAATTTATCCCTCCTTTACCCTCTTGTACCTCCCCCCACCCCCTTCCCTCTGGTAGTCTGTTGTCTGTGTCTAAATTTGTTTTTTTCTTTGCTTAATCCTTTCACTTTTTTAACCCAGCTTCCCCAGCCGCCCCCCCCCCCGCCCCGACAGCTGTCGGTCTTTTCTCTGTACCTATGAGTCTGTTTCTGTTTTGTTTGTCAGTTTATTTTGTTCATTAGCTTCTACATATAAATGAAGTCATATAGTACTTGTTTTTCTCTGACTGGCTTGTTTCACTTAGCGTAATGCTCTCCAGTTCCATTCATGCTGCTGTAATAGGTAAGATTTCTTCTTTTTTATGTCTGGTAGTATTTCGTTGTGTGAATGCACCACAGCTCTCTTATCCACTCATCTACTGATGGGCACTTGGGCTGCTTCCAAATTTTGGCTACTGTAAACAACGTGACAATGAACATAAGGGTGCATATATTCTTTCAAAGTAGTGTTTGGGGTTTCTTTGGATATATTCCCAGAAGGAAAATCACTGGATCACAAGGCAGTCCACTTTTAATTTTCTCAGGCAACTCCATACTGCTTTCCACAGTGGCTGCACCAGCCTGCATTCCCACCAACAAGGCACAAGGGTCCCCTTTGCACTGCGTCCTCACCAACACTTGTTGTTTGTTGATTTATTGATGATGGCCATTCTGACTGGTGTGAAGTAATATGTCATTGTGATTTTAAATTGTGTTTCCCTGATAATTGGTGATGTTGAGCATCTTTTCATGTGTCTAGAATCTGTATGTCCTCTGGACAAGTGTCGCTTCAGGTCCTTTGCCCATTTTTTAATTGGATTATTTGGTTTTTGGTGTTGAGTTGTAAGAGTTCATTATACATTTTGGATATTAACCCCTTATCAGATGTATCATTAGCAAATATGCTCTCACATTTGGTGTGTTGTTGTCTTTTCATTTTGTTGATGGTCTCCTTTGCTGTGCGAAAACTTTTTAGTTTGATGTAGTCCCATTTGTTTATTTTTTCTTTTGTTTCCCTTGCCGAAAGCGATATATCAGAAAAAATTCTGCTATGAGAAATGTTCGAGATTTTACTGCCTGTGTTTTTTTCTAGGATGTTTATGGTTTCAATCTAGCATTTAAGTCTTTTATTCATTTTGAGTTGATTCTTGTGTGTGGTGCAGGAAAATGGTGTAGTTCCATTGTTTTTGCAGGTATCTGTGCAGTTTCCCCAACACCAGTTATTGACTAGATTATCTTTACCCCCTTGTGTGTTTTTGCTTCTTTGTCAAGTATTAGTTGAACGTGGGTTTATTTCTGGGCTGAGAACTGGCTCTTATACAGAGTCTTATAACCTATAAATATTATTTTTCACACCATTTATTCGAGTCTTTATATATGAGACTATTACCAATGCTATTTTTGCTGTACTTTCCAGTTGTGTTTTGCCAGTATATACAAATACAAATGATTTTTTTCTTTATAATTTAACAGCCTCATAGCAGTATAATTTACATATCATAAAAATCACCCATTTTAAGTCTGTACTTCAGTGTGTTTTTAAGTGAATTTACACGTTGTGAAACTATTGCCATAATCCAGTTTTAGAATATTTCCATCACTCCAGAAAGTTCTCTTGTGCCTGTTTGAAATCAGTCTCAACCTAGCTTCAGGCAGCACCAATTTCCTTTCTGTCTCTGTAGTTTTACCTTTCTAGAAATTTCACGTAAATAGACTCATATAATATCTGGTCTTATATGTCTGACTTCTTTAGCCTAGCATAATGTTTTTATGGCTCTTCCATATTATTGCAATAGCTGATCCTATTTTATTGCAGAATAGCATCCTGTTATATGGCCATACTATTGTACATTTTGTGTATCCATTCATCATTTGATGGACATTCGGATGATTTTTTGTTTTTTGCTACTATGCATGTTGCTGCTGCGAACATGAGTGTACAAGTTTTTGTGTGGGCGCATGTTTTCATTTCTCGTGGGATATACCAAGGAGGGGAATTGCTGGGTTATGAATGTGTTGACCTGTGTAGAAAACTGCCAGACCGTTTTCTAAAGTGGTTGCACCATTTTACATTCCCAGCAACAATGTATGAAGATTCTTGTTTCCCCAAATCCTCGTCAACACTTGTCATCTGACTTTCTGGTTGGATCAGTCCTGGTGGATGTGAACTAGTACGGTACCCCAGTGGGGTTTTGGTTTGCATTTCCCTGATGTCTAATGATGGTAAGCATTTTTTCACATGCTTATTGGCCATTTATATCCTTTTTCCATTTTTTTCTTCGGGGTGAAATTCACATAACATTAACCATGTTCAAATGTACAGTTAATTGGCATTTAGAATCTTTGCAGTGCTGTGTCACTATTGCCACTATCTAATTTCAAAATATTTTTATCATCCCAAAAGGAAACCCCATGTGCATTAAGTAGTCACTCCCCATTCGCCCGGCCCCAGCCCCTGCCAGTCACTAATCTGCTTTCTGTCCTCATGGATTAGCTATTCTGGAATTTCTTACAGTTGGAATCAGGCAGTGTGCAACCTTTTGTGTCTGACTTCTTTTTCTTAGTATAATGTTTTTGAGATTTACCCATGGTGTAACACGTATCACTTCTTTATTCTTTTTTATGGCTGAGTAATAGTCCATTGTGTGGACATATTCTGTGTTTGTTTATACATTCATGAGGCATTGGAAACTTGGGTTATTTTCACCATCTAGCCATTGTGAATAGTGTTTCTATAAACATTCAGGTATAAATAATCAAAAGATTTTTTTTAGCTATTTTGGATCTATTCATCCCTTGGATTTTCATAAATTTTAGGATCAGCTGTCAATTATCAGTTTCTGCAAAGATATCCACTGTGGTTTTAATCACAAATCTGTAGATCAATATGGAGGTATTATTACCATCTTAACAATACTAAGTCATCCAATCCAAGAACGTGAACTATCTATTTCTTTCAACAATGTTTTGTAGTTTTCTAAGTATACAATTTGTACTTCTTTGGTTAAATTGTAAAAGGTATTATTACCATTTTTAATTACATTTCCCAATTGGTTCTTATTTGCTAGTATATAGAAATAGAATTGATTTTAAAATGTTGGCCCATATCCTGAAGCCAGATTAAGTTTACCTATTAGTTCTAGTTTTTGTACATTCCTCAGGATTTTCTATGTGAACAATCATGTCATTTACAGTTAAAGACATTACTACCTTTTTTTTTTCCCAATCATTATGCCTTCTATTTCTTTGTCTTACCAATTGTACCAGCAAGGAATTCTCATACCATATTGACTAGAAATGATGAGAAAGCATATATCTTAAATACAATGTATAGTTTTTTGTAGTCACGCTAGAGTTTTCATAAAGGGCTCAAACTCTGAAAGTAAAAGACACCAGCATTTAGTAGAAAGAGACTTTTTCAGGTTTATTCTAAACAACTTTTCACACATGGGGCAGAAGTGCATCTGACATTAGAATAAGTAAAAAGAGGAATTTGTTGTCACATGTAATAAGGACATCTAGAAATCTGTCTGCATCATGCATAGGGGGAATCTGGGAAATCAGGATGTCATCAGGGTGCTGCCTTTCTTTATCTCTTGACTCTTGTTTTACACATTGGCTTTGGGCTCACAAGTCTCCCCAGTACCTCTTACCACCTCACTTTGCCAAAGATGTCACCTGCAGCTCCAGACGTATAGCCAACAGTAACTAACTCTAGCAAAAAAAAAAAAAAAAAAGGACCTTGTTTTGGGTTTGGGTTTTTTTCAGTGGTTCTGAAAAAAATCTCTCAGAGTTTACTATTCGAGCAAATCAGGTCACTTGGCCATCCACTGGACCAATCACTGAGGCCACAGGACAGGAATGTCCTGATTGATCAGGCCCAAGTTCCATGCTCCTCCCCCTTGGAACCAGGGGATGGAGCCAGCCCCATCCAAGTCTGATGGGCTCAGAAGGAGAGGAGCAGTTTCCCAAAGAAAAATCAGAGTATCATTACTAGAAAACAAGGGAGTGGGCCCCAGCCAGGCCTAAGCCACAGCTGCTCACAGAAGATCTTCGCGCCCCAGGTCTGGTGCAGTCACTGGACCTCTTTGAGCTTCAGTTTCCCCATTTGCAGAACACGGGTGGCGGGCCCTGCCCTTCCTGGCCCTATCTGGAAGGTACAGTGAGGCCATGCAGCAGAGAACTACGTCTAAACTCTAAGGTGCAGTGCACGTGTAACAGGCAGGAGGCCACGCGCATGGTTACTAAGCAGCTCTTCTCACCTGTCGTCCATCTGCCCTCTTCTGTCTCCCTCCCAGAGCACCTGAAAAAGCCACTTGAAGACTATATGGCCCATTTCCCCAGCGTGAGGATTCTCCGAACCAAGAAACGGGAAGGGCTGATACGGACCCGGATGCTGGGGGCCTCGGCAGCAGTCGGGGATGTCATCACATTCTTGGACTCACACTGCGAAGCCAATGTCAATTGGCTCCCTCCCTTGCTTGGTAAGAGGCCCTCCCAAGGCGAGGTAGGAGGCCTGGAATGAGCCAGTCACCACCAGCCCCAGCCTTCTTCAGGGAGTCACCCCCAAGTGTCCCCTTGCCCTCCTGAGATACATCCAACACAATGTCAGGTGCCACGAGAGGCGCAGAAGTTCAGAGTGCTCAAAGAGGCCCTAAAAACCCATTCAGTCCTGTCCCTTCATTTTACAGAGGAGGAAGCTGAGACTCAGAGACTGGGCTAGTGGCTGCCCAAAGTCATGTACACATTGGTTGCTAGCAGCATGATTGCTTCCCCAGACAGCCAACTTTCTGTGTACTGTTAAGTGCCTTTGTACTGTGAAGGGCCAAACTATGGAGCAACATCATCCTGTCAACTTACAACCATTACCATTCGCTGCACTGCTACTTTGAGCCAGGAAGGTTGCAAGCATTTTCGCTAATTCTTACAAAACTATGCCGGGTCAAAAAGTACCTCTTTTTTATAGTAGAAGACATTGGAGTTCAGAGGTATGGAGTGACTCACTTATTCCCTGGGCCATAAGTGGCATTGTCGCCATCTGTCTGGCTCTGAACTCTCTCATGATTCCTCGTGGCCTCCCTGAAGTCACTTCCTCTCTGGAGTTGCTGGCAGCTCTCAGGGCTGTAGACGGAGGGCAGCTCACTCCAGGAGTCGTCCACCTTAGCCCCAGTGACAGCGGGAGACATGAGGATTGGATGTTGCTATCCCATAGCAGGTTGGAGAGTCGGGTCTGAACACTGGAGAACTGAGCTTTGATAAAGGCAGTGAGCTGGTGTGGACAGTTTGACATTGAAGAGGAAGTGTCCCATTGAGACTGACTGTCAGGCAAGGGGCGGTGAGAGAGACAGATTGGAGAAGAGTTACTCAGTTGAAAAGGGAACCCCTCAGAAGTGGGTGGGTGTGCTTCCCATAACAGAGTGCTGAGGGAGCAAAGAGGACTGAGGTTCAGGGCGAACTTGCGTGTGCTTCAGAATCGCCTAAAAGACGGTAAAACACAGGGTGCTGGGCCCTGCTCCAGTTTCTGATTCTGGAGGTCCAGGCTGGGGCCTGAGAAGCTGTGTTTCTAACCAGCTTCTGGCTGATGCCAGTGCTGCTGGTCCAGGGGCCACACTTCTAGGAGCACTGGCTAGGCCACCATCCAGAGATGAGGACAGAAAGCAAAGTCCACACAGTCAGATGGGTGAGCCCAGAAGCTGTGCTCCAACACAGATCAGCTCAGAACCCAGTGTGCCTCTGCCCCCCAAGGTCCAGGACCCCAGGGGTGAGGGAAAGGATAAAACCAAGATGTGTGCATCTGCCTCTCACTACTGAAAAAGAACAAAAAAGAAAAACAGCCTCCCCATAAATAGGCTAATTTATAGTCCTGAAGGAACAGCCCATTTGTCGGGTCATTCAGTGGCTCATAAAGAGAATGGAGTGGTGGGGCAGGAAGCTGAGCGGAGCCTCTGAATAGCCCTTCGCTCTGGCTATGGAAATATATGAGGGTAATTTTCATAATCTGCAGGCATACTTGGAAGAAGCATTCCCCCTCTTTTTTTTTTTTCTTTTTGCAATAGAAATGGGAACCAGGGATGTAGATTTAAAAGTCTGCCCTGCTAATGTGATTAGCAGACAGAACACATTACAGTGTTTGTCTCTGAAACCATTAACACCTCTGTACACAGCTCCTTCTGCCTTCTCTGGAGAGCGAGCATTGCTGAGTGAGTAGGATTCAGCCCCACCCAAGGACACCCACTATCGATTATCGTTTCCTCTATCATTATCATCATCATCATCATCATCATCATCATCATCATCATCATCCTGGCTCTGCTAGGCTCCTAGCTTTTTAGGCCACATCCCCATTTGAATTTGATGGTAATGTGGTAGAACAGGCAGGCCAGGCGTTATCATCCACAGCCTGCAAATGAGAAAACTGAGGGGCAGAGAGAATGAGGGAGATGCTCAGCCTTCCAGTGCCTGCCCCTGAGCTTCCCTCAGCAGTCCTGGGCACGGAGGATGTCAGGGGTGCTAAGCCTCTTGGCCCCACTCAGCCTTCAGACCCCTATGAGATAGGTGCTGCCTTCCTCCACTTGGTCAGCCAGGAAACCAAGATCAGAGGCAGCAGATAACTTTCTCCAAGATTACTCTGCTTGTAGGCAACAAAACCAGGATTCGAACCTGGACGTGCTGTCCCCAGAGGAGCACAGCACTGAATGCTGCCTCTGGTGCAGCTCTCGGCCTCATACTTGTTATAGTTGGCCAGCACCTTGCAGGGCCCTCTGCCCTCAGCCCACACCTGCCCCGGAAGTGAAATCCCCTGAATGGGCATGAATAATTAGGAAGGGAGGCCCTTCTCTAGCTCTTTCCCTGGAGAAGTTCTTCTGCTTCATTAATCCCCAGGGGGCCTGTCACAAGGCTGATCCACCTCTACCCCCAGAGACTCTGATGCAGTGGGCCAGGGCGGAGGGTGGTTAAACGGTGCAGCTGCCAACTAACTCTGACCCTACCAGGCTCCCCATTCCAGGTCTTGAACTTGACCCCTGGCCCAAAGCTGCTAGGCATCCCAGCACAGCCCACTTGCTCCTCATGGCACATCACCTGCCCTAACAGATCACTGACAAGCCCAGAGGAGAATGCTGGGGTTTAGAGACATCAGTTATGTAGCTGGTGCAGAGTCCCTGTCTCAGGCATCAAGACTGGGATAGGAACCCTGGTCCATCTTGCTTATTAAAGCCTGTGTCTTCCCTTCCTCTCCAGGATTCTCAAGCTCAAGTGTTCAGAGAAATCACCCAGGGAACATGTTAAAATGCAAATAAGCTGCAGAACAGGTTGTGCACTTAGCTGCCCCCTTAGCCCACCTCCCTAATGGGCATCTCTTGGCTTCTTCAGACCGCATCGCTCGGAACCGCAAGACCATCGTGTGCCCCATGATTGATGTGATTGACCACGATGACTTCCGGTATGAGACGCAGGCGGGGGATGCCATGCGGGGCGCCTTTGACTGGGAGATGTACTATAAGCGGATCCCCATCCCTCCAGAACTGCAGAAGGCCGACCCCAGTGACCCATTTGAGTAAGTACAAGTGACCCAGGCTGGTCCCAGTGGCTCACCCAGTAACCTGTCCCCAATACACATAACTCAGAGTCATCACCTCCCTCAAAAGTCCAGTGCAGAGGGGCCAGGGCAGGTGCCCCCAGCTAGAAGGACAGCCTGTCCCATCTTGTGACAGAGCCTCAGCTCATGGACCTCCAAGCTAGTCACCTCTTCCCTGCCCTCCTCTGTGCAGTTTGCCACAGTTGCCAGCCAGGGCTCAGCAGGTTGCTCATGCTCCCTCCCTTAAACCTGGCACCGGGTTGTAATCATCATCATCATCATCATCATCACCATCACCACCACTTATGAACACTTTCTAAGTGCTAGGCATTGCATGCTGAGCACATTACAATCTGATCATCTTTAACCCTCTCAGTTGTTATTTAAATTATTTTTATTTTTAATTTTTTCCTTTAAAAGTTTTATTTATTTATTTCTAGAGAAAGGGGAAGGGCAGGAGAAAGGGAGGGAGACAAACAACAATGTGTGGTTGCCTTTCGCATGCCCCCTACTGGGGGCCTTGGCCCACAACCCAGGCATGTGCCCTGACTTAGAATCAAACTGGTTACCCTTTGGTTCACCGGCACTCAATTCACTGAGCCACACCAGCCAGGGCTTAAATTATTATCCATGCTTTCCAATGTGGAGACTAAGGTTCCAAGAGGGTTTAGCAACTTGCCTGGGTCACACAGTGATGATGTGGCAAAGGCCAGATACATGGGCAGGTCTGTCTGCCCCGAGCCAGGTTTCCCATCATTCCGCTACACCCCTGTGGAAATGCTAGGGAAGCAACAGCGCCCCCCACAGGAGCAGTTCGGGGGGGTGTGGAGTGGGCTCCCAGCATCTTGAATGTGGGAGCTAGAAGGAACCTATAGGCTGTGGACTCCGCGCCATCTCAGGGAAGGAATGCGAGGCCCCCCAGGGTGCACAGTGGGTGAGTGGCTGAGCCAGAAACAGCCCAGTCCCTCTCCAGTACTTGCAGCTCTGGAAAGGGCCTCTGCTTGCCCCGAGGGCCCGCCGTCCTGCAGCTGCCACGAGAGTCACGCCGCCTCTCCTGCTGGAGACAGGGAGGAGATCTTTGGGTACAAAGCCAAAGTCCAGGCTCCTGCTGGATTCGTTTCCCAACTGCTGCAGCAGTAAATTACCACAAACTTACCAGCTTCCAAAAGAAAGCCACAAATTTATTCTTTTAAGGTCCTGGAGGTCGGAAGCCTGAAATGATTCTTACTGGCCTAAAATCACAGTGTCAGCAGGGCTGCATTCCTTCTGGATGCCCCAGAGGACAGTCCATTTCCTTGCTTTTTCCAGCTTCTAGAGGCTGCTCGCATTCTTTGGCCCACAGCCCCTTCCTTCCTCCTCAAAGCCAGCAAGCAGCCCAGCAGCTTCAAGCCTCCCTCTCCATGCCCCCTTCCTCCCCACCCCGTATCCCTCTGTCCCTCCCCCAACTCTCTCTCTCTCTCTCTCTCCATGCCCCTCCCTCTCTCCTTATCTTCTGCTTCCATTATCACCTCTCCTTCTCTGCCTCTGCCTCCTGCTTTCACTTACAAGGACCCTGGTGATTATGTTGGCCCACCAGGTGCTCTCCCATCTCCAGGCCCTTCGTCACATTAGGAAAGTCCCTTTGCTGTGTAAGGTCACATACTCACAGGTTCCAGGAATTAGGACATTGACTTCTTGCAGAGCGCGTTACTCTGTCCACCACACCTCCCCATGGACCCCAGCTTCTGTGTGCCCCCACCCTCCCCACCTCAGAAAGGGGGCTGTTGGCAGCTGAGCCGTCTTCATGGGTGCAGTGCCTACCCAAGGTTCCTGAAGGGGCCCCTGACGTGCTGGGCCCCAGTGCAGGCTCAGAGGTGGCTTCCTGGAAGCAATGGAAGGCGGCCGGGGTGATGGAGCAGCGTGAGCCCAGCGTAGAGGGCATGAGTGGAGCCCCGTGCCTCAGCAGGTCAGACGTTTGCTCTCCTCCCGACCCCCTGTGTCCTCCACAGCGTCCAACACTGCTGCCTGAGCCCTTCCTCGCACTTCCCCAAGAGGACACGTAGTGGAGGCTGAGGTCAGAATGGGCTGCCCCAGAAAACGGGGTTTTCAAGGCAACCAGAACCCCCTTTATGGTTTGACCCTCTGCCATTAACTGATCCGCAGGCACTAAGCCTTGAAAGGTGCACAGGGTGCGTCCGGCCCCCATCCTCCTCGAGGCAGGGTGAGGAAGGGCACATTCAGGTGTGCAGCTGGTGAGCAGCAGAGGCCCAGCCAGCTTCCTCCGGGGCCTCGTCCCCACATCCGGGTGTTGCAGGGGTTGGCCCGGCCCCAGGGCAGCTGCATTCACGCCTGGGCCCACTGGCAGTGCACGGGGCGTTCATTAAAAAACAAAACAAACCCACCCGCGTCACCCCAGACTAGTGACGCCAGAGTGTGGGGGTGAGATGCGGACATCTCTGGTTTTTGAAGGTCCCAGGTGACACTGATGTATGGCCAAGGTGGAGAGCCACTGAGGGCCTCCCCATCCGTGGTGTCCTCTGATGCAGTCCAGAAGTCTCTCTCCTGTCACTTGGACAAAACCCAGGGGAGGGGCCACAGGAGAAATCCTGGTCATTTTCTGCACGCTTCCCCACAGCGCCAGCAAACGGGCAGTCTGTAGGCACAGTGCGGTGTGATGATGTTTGAAAAACTTGGGCTTTGGTGGCAGACCCTGGTCCAAATCACAGCTCATCCACTTACTATATGCCCTTGAGCAGAGCGTGTGGTATTTCTGAATTTCAAGTTCCTCCGTCTGAGAAGGGGGCTAGTAAGAGAGCGTTCTGAGAGCTGGAGGCAACGTCGGTAAGGTGAGTGGCGCTCACCAGAACTCGGACGCGTTAGTGTTAGTGCTGAATGCGGCAGGGAACAGACCTGCCTGGAGGAGAGGCCTCCCTCTGGAGTCAGAGCCCTGAGCATCCAAATCGCCTGGAGGCCAACAGCCGCCTGTGGTGCGGCAGCTCCAGGCAGCAGCTCCTCAGCCCCTGCGCCCGGCTTCCACGCAGGCTGATCTTCTGTGCAGAGGCCTGGGCTTGCTTTCTCATGAAGCACAGGGGCAGAAACATGCTGCCTCCGAGCAGTGGATGTCAGGCTCCAGCAAGAAAACCCAAACCCCACAACCTTCAGGAGACAAAGGAGAGTCGCTAGCACTGACTCCTTGTTTCCTCACAGTCCTGGATACTTCCGGAACCGTCCTGGCGAGTGAGCGAGGAAGTGTCGCTATGGGCCCGTGGTGGAGAGGGGAAGCAGGCACAGAAGGGCTGACACTGTCCGGCAGGAGTATAATGCAAGTCACATGGACTTTTAAATTTCCAAGCCGCCATGTGAAAAAGCTAAAGAGAAGCAAAACCGAGACAGACTGATAGGTGGAGAGCAGGATGGCAGCTCTAGGGGCGGGGGGAGGTGAGGGGGGGGGGGGTTGGGCAAAAAGGAGACAGGACTCGTGAACACGGACAACAGTGTGGTGATTGCGGGGGAAGAAGATTAAATGGTACCGGAAAAAATACAATTAAAATGATAAATAAATAAATAAAAGAATAAAATATTACTTATTTTTTAAAGATTTCATTTATTTATTTTTAGAGAGAGGGGAAGGGGAGGAGAAAGAGAAGGAGAGAAACATCAATGTGTGGTCGCCTCCCATGTGACCCCACAGGGGACCCAGCCTGCAACCCAGGCATGTGTTCCGACTGGGAACTGAGCCAGCGACCCCCCCAGCTTCACAGGCCCATGCTCAATCCACTGAGCCACACCAGCCAGGGCTAAAACATGTTTAAAAAGCTAAAGAGAAGCGGCTAAAATTCATTTTGGTAATATATTTTAGCTAACCCAGGACATCTAAAACATTCTCACTTTAGCATGTAACCAACACTGTAAAATTACAGAGACCCTATCTGTGCCTCCTCATCCTGAGCCTCAGAAACTCGGCATGTGCCTCACCCTGTGGTCCCACCAGCCACCTGGCAGGTGCTCGGCCGCCACGTGCACCTGTGGCTGCCGTGGCCGGGGGCACGGGGCTGGGTGGTGAAACCCTTCATCGCAGGTCACACTGCAGGTCAGGGAGAGTCGGGTCGCAGTCAGGGCTCCCCCATCTCTGATCCTCTATCCTTGTACTTGTCCCCTGCTTCTCGGCTGTTCCTCCCTGTCAGGAGGCAGCGAACCGTGGCTGTGACAGGTGTGGACCATGGCATAGGTTCCAGGTTTCCATCCTGGCTGGCAGCTGTGAGCCCTTGAGCAAGTTACCTGTCTGTGCCCTGGCTTCTGCGTGCGTAACACGGGGTGGTTCTGGTGAGGCATAAGAAACTCATGAGGTCAGTGCAAGGGATGAAGTCACTTCATTAATAATAACTTAATTCAGTACAGCCCCTGGGATAGTCAGTCCCTCAGTAAACAGTCAGCGGGATCCCCTTTTAAAGGAGTCCCCTCTGGTGCTGTGAGGGCTCATCTGCTATAGGAAGATTGGGGTGCACGTGGGTTAACGAAGTTCCTTTTAATCAGTCCGCTCGCTGTCAGCTTGCAGTTCTGGGGCCGCAGAGGGGACGCGGAGGGTGCAGCTGGCATGCCTTTTGGTTTGAAGGTTTGGGGTTTGCCAGTGGAGCTGGACAAAGACACGGCCGCTCTGAGAGGTCTGCACATAGCACACAGTGCCGGCCCCTCCCAGGAGCCAGCCCATGGGAGGCCCCGCGGGAGACTGGGGCAGGTCCCAGCCGGTGTCCCCACGGGCCTGGCAGGATCCCACGCTGGCTGCCTGCTCCGTCCCCGTGGCACCCCAAAACGTGTTATCTCTGTGCTTTCCTCCTGCTTTCTCCGAGTCCCCTCCCCCAAGTTCTCACTGATCCAGACCCACCTGGAGTGCCCCCCCCTTTGGGCCTCCTTCCTTGACTCTTCCCCCAGCGTCCCTCCTCGCCCCCAAAACCCAGAGGCAGACAGTCCCCCTCTCCTGCTCCTGTAGTGCCGTCTGCACCCCCGGAGGCCCTTATGACACCCCGTCTTCTGGGGCCTTCCATCCCGAGGTAGCTGCCCTGCCACATGGCATCCCCTGAAATCCCCACCCAGCTCTGATTACACTGGTGCCATTCATCTTAGCCCAGTGCAACTGGAAAACCGGACTGTGGCTCCTCTCAGCTCTCAGCAGAACAACTGCCTGTGCTGAACTGACTTAGAATCCTCAGAGGAGTGTGTCCGAAACACAGGTTCCTAGGCTCTGCCCCGCAGAGAGTGTCGTGCAGGGCTGGGGTGGGGCCGGGAGCCGTGGGTTTCCTACCTCGGAGAACATCCTGCAGCCCAGTCCGGCCTGGGAGGACCTGAGTCAGACCCGGAAAGTAGTGGGAGGACCGGAAAGAGAAACACGATGCAGCTATGAGACCCATGGGAGGAAGTACTGCGATTTCATTTCACAGCTGTTCTTTAGTGTTAGCACGTAAAGGAACTTGGGGCCCACTTGGTTAAAGTTTGGCGTTTATGAGAGGAGGGGTAGGTAAGGAAGAAACAAGCTTGGGGCCTCACCGGAGGGCCTTGGACTCCCTGCTGACATGTGGGCTGTGTGTCCTGGGCAGCAAGGAGCGCACCCCAGGGACCTGGCAGTATCAGGGTGCCCTCAGAGCCGTGGCCATCAGGTCCCCATTTCATACCACACTCTTCTTCCCTGACAGGTCTCCCGTGATGGCCGGTGGGCTCTTCGCCGTGGATCGGAAGTGGTTCTGGGAGCTGGGCGGGTACGACCCAGGCCTGGAGATCTGGGGAGGCGAGCAGTATGAAATCTCATTCAAGGTGAGCCCGCGCTCGGAAGCCCCCTTGGCCCCTGTCCCGGCAGGCTGCCTGCCTGGTGCTGGTCTGAGCCTAGAAAGACTGGAGGACTCGGGCACCTGAGGCGAAGAAGCCACATTCTCCCTTTATTTGTGGGGCCCTGTGTTGATCTCAGGTGGAGAATGGGTCCCTCTGAGGAGAAGGTTAGCCTGTCCTGTGCCCTTGCGGTCAGCAGGGGATTCATTCTCACATCCCTGCTCATGAGGGCTGACCAGCGGCACTGTTACTGGGCCAAGCCAGTGTGTGAATACACAACTCTGAATCAGGCATCATTTTCAATGCCAAGGACCACTGTCACACACAGCAATGAAGACATCCATGCCAGCGTCAGATTGCCTAAGTCAAATGTTGGCCGTACCACTTCCTACCAGCCATGTGATCTTGGACAAGAACTTCACCCCACTGACCTTCACGTTCTGCTTCCATAAAACGGGTTTAATGGTGCTTTAATCCTCACAGGGATGTTGAGAGGATTCCATGAGACCATGCTTGTTAGAGGCTTCTCAGTAGATGTCTTAAAAGGTTACATTCATTATCAATGTCAGCAGTGATTGCGCGCAGTTCAGAACCAGGGATCATAAATTCTTTATTCACAGTGGTGATGTGTCTGTTCCCCCTCCAGAGTTCTGAAGTTGTCTCCCAACAGGGGACCAGCCCCTAAATAAAACCAATGTTAATATCCAGGGGTGACACTCAAAACATTTAACAACTCAGATGACATGAGCGCCGACTAGTCGGAGCAGGTGCCGGCTGTAAGCAGCTATGGCAAATACAATCCTCGCCCCAACCCTAGTAGGGATGTATCATTATCGCATCCATCACACAGGGAGGCAACTGGGGCTCCGACCCAGGGCCCACACAGGTGGAGGTCACAGAGAGCCCAGGTCTGCCCCCAGGGGTCAGGGGTCAGTTCTGTAGGCCTCTGGAGGGGCACCAGAGCAGAGCACTTGAGAAAAATTAGCCTGAGAAATTGGCTGCAGTCTCCTACCTTATCTTCTCAGTTTTTGCCTCCTCCTGGTATTATTACTCTTAATTTACTGGAGTATTCTGCAGCCTCTCAGTGAAGTGAATTAACAGCGGTCTAAGTCAGAAAGAGCAGATAGGTTTCCTCGCCCAGCTACGCCGATCTATTGGCAGGGGCTGCCCTGGCTCGTCAGAGCAAGAGTGGTGATTGACCAGTGGTGTCTGCGTGGGTGCAGGTTTAGTGAGTGATGACATCGATGTCATTTACATAGTGTCCCTCTCCCCTGCCATCTAGTTTTCCACAGGGCACATCCTTATGGGTATAGTGAAACCAACAAGGAGTCAGAAGACTTCTAAACTTCATAGTTCCTCGGTCATCAGCTAAACAGATTGATTTATGAAGCTTGCTGCCAAGCTTGTTTCCAGAATTGTGCACATCTGTGTTGACTCCTCACCAGAACGTAAACCTCTCTAGGGTAGGGTCCGAGTGGGTTTCCCTTACTGCTGTAGCCCAGGTACCAGGAGGACTGTCTGACACAGAGAAGAAACTTAGTGGTTCTCTGTCGGTTTAATTCTCAGAGCAAGTGTGTGACTGGCCAGAGCCCGCCTCCTTGGTCAAGGAATCCCACCCTTTGTAAACCCACCCTTTGTGGAAAATACAAAGGAGACCGAGCGAATGGAGAGAGATTTGCACAGAGCAGTTCCCGGACCCAAAGGGGCTTCATTCTGTGTGTTTTTAAAGACCCATCTAGCAAGGCTCATCGGGCAGTTACAGCACTACAAAGGCATTTTTCTCCACAGTTTATTTACAAAGAACCTCATAATGAAGCCATTTTGGAAGCCTCTCTGGGAGGGGGAGCGAGGCTGGTTCCGGTTTCCGTTTGATCCAATTGTCCTTCACTCTCGAGGGGGAAGAAGAAAGGGTATCGAGGAGGCTCCTGGTCTGAAAGGGAGACTTGTCTCCCTCAGCTTTCTCTCTCCTGGCTTTGAGAACGTGCGTTCCCAGAGCCGCTGGCAGTGCCCCTCTGAAATGCCAGTTGTTCTAGTTCAGCCAGAGCAGGGTGTTCATGAAGAGCCAGATTCCCTCTGACTCATCTCTGCTGAGATCCCTTTTCTTCTTGGTAATGGAGGAGAGAGACTGGTCTGAAAAGCTGAGTGTGTTTTCAGAAATTAAGATAAATTGATACGTGCCATCAGCACCAAGGGATTAACAGTGTGGCTCCAATTTCAGACGAGGCCATCTCTGCTGATGGGAAAGCCCCAGAAAAGATGTCCTAAAGGCTCAGAAATTTCTAGAAGAGTCATTGACCCTTTCCCCTGTTTCTCATCCCCTCTCTCTCTCTCTGCCAGCAGAGATTTTTCTTTCCAAAAGACACTCAAAGTTCTGCTTGGCGGTTAGAATCTCCCCAGTTATGGGGGGTGGATAAATGTCAAACTCCACAGCCCGGCTGACACCTGAATCTATGAGCTGACCCCTGCGCGTCTCTCCACCCTCCCCCTTGTCCTCTTATCCTGCTGCCTTAGTCTGGACTCTTAGGTGCAGGTGACCGGACTCCTGGTCAGCCTGATTTAAGCAAAAAGTCGGAACTGATCGGCCCACACAACTGAAGTTCCAGGACAGACCCTCCAGGCCCGGCTGGGTCCAGGAGCTACCTGGTCTCAGTCCCTGTCTCTCAGCCCCTGACTCTGCTTTCCTGTGGGCTGGCTTCCTGCTCAGGCAGGCTTTCTCTCTGCCGCAATACCCAGCAGCCCTCTGGAGAGTTTTGCCCTCCCGTCGTTCCTGTACAGCTCCCCAGGTTGTGTCTCACTGGCCTGCTTGTCCCTTGCCTGTCCCTGAGCAGTGTTCTCATTGGTCAGCCACAGTCACATGCCCATCCCGGAACCAGGAAGATGGGTGCAGGCTGGCTCCACAGAGGAAAGTCTAGTCACTGTACACAGAAGTGGAAAGGCTGCGGAGCCAGGCAAACCACAGATGTCCACCTCCCCCAGCCAAACAGGACTGCTCACAAACCACAGGCCCATGTTTGGACGCACACACTGTCTACTGTTTCCGAAATGCCTTTCCTTCCACACATCCTTCTGGGCGCGGCTCGTATCTATGGCCTCTGCTCAGCCTTAGCTGTGCTGACGAGAGGCCAGCCCAGCCTCACTCTCAACATGGCTTCAGATGCCTCGTGCTGCTGACAGGACCCAAGGGTTGGCCTTCTTCCCCACTGGACTCTGAACTCCCTAGAGGCAGGGAGAAGTTCCATCTTTATACCCCAGTGTCTCACCCACAATAGGTGTCTTAAGTAACTGTTGGTGGAATTCATTCCTATCTGATAGAACCTCCCTCCCCCTGCTCTCCCCAGACTTACATCACCATCTTAGGTAGTGGTGGAGTGTTGGGAAAGGGACTCCGTGAGAAGGCAGGACACTGGCTCCTCATCTCTGCTCTCCGTCCCCCTGAGGACCCTGGACCCATTGCCTGACCTCTCGGGCCCTCACATCCCAGATGCCCTGATATATTTTTTTCTTGCTTCCCCATGAGACAGGTTTAAATAAGATGCCATGGAGAAAGTATTTCAACTTACACAGATGTGAGGATAATTTGGATTAGATGTGGCAGCAGCAGGGAGCAGAATGGGGACTACACAGTGTCTCCTGGAGGCCAGGTCAGAAAAGCTTCAACTCCAAGATCCGGGAGAGAGGAAGTATCCCAGGACACCTGGCCCAGCTGGCACGAGAAAGATGTGCGCTGTGGGGTGATCTGAGTGGATATCTCTTTTGTTACTAGCAGTTGGGCCAAATCTGTCACATTTCACAGCAAGCACATCCTTTGACCCAAAACTCCATGCCCCGGAGTTTATCTGAGAGACAGTGCACAGATGAGCAAAGATGCAGATAGGAGCTATTTACGGAAGCGTTATTTACAACCGGGGAAGACTGCAGATGACCCAGATGTCCATCCTTGGGAGACACATAACGTGGAGCACCTCCCACCCATGGAACAGTATGCAGCCAGCAACTTGTGACGGTTCCACTTTCACTTTAAGATAGCGCAAGAGCAATAAGCATTCAGTAGGAACTGTACTTCAGGCTGTTGCAGTTTGATCTTTCCCCGGGCTGGTGATGAGCTGTGCACCACTCCTCCGTGATGCTGGGCCGGGGCAGCCATAGCTCCCCATTAGGCACGCACGTGATCACGAGGGCAAACGTCTAGTGCTCTGTGTGCTCACAGTGTTAGACGACTGTGTCCCAGTGCAGGCGAATGCAGAGTTCTGGGTGCATTTACGGTGGGCCAGGACGAGCTGTGGTGCGTGGCGTACCAGCTTCTGTAGCGCTGAGTGCGTTCATCATAAGTGTGTATCGCTCCTATGGTCAAAAAAAGGTAAGATTTTTTTTTAACTAAGAAGAAGGAAAAATTGTGGGTCTTTCAGCTCTCTGGGCCCATCCCTCTCCATGTGTATCCCAATACTTCAGGCCATTTGCAAGTTCAGAGCTAAGATTTCTCTGTAGGGCAGGCCTACGGAGAAGGGAGTCCAAGGGGAGACTGAGCCCCGTTGGGGCACCTCTGCAGGGTGGGCTCTGGGAGGCAGAGGTGTGGGCTCTTGGGTGATGAAGATGGTCTAAGGGTCCCCTGGGGCAGGCTGGTGAGAACAAGGTAGTGACGGAAAGCCACATGAGGGGACAAGGGACAGCCATCCTACCGGGTAGACTTAGAGGCCTTAGGGGAGTATGGTTTGCATTGTTCGACATGGATGTTCTTACCAAAAGCCAAACAAGTCCCAGGGTGTCTGGACAGATTTAAAAACAAAAAAAAAAAAAAACCAGAAACTCTCAGATTTTTTCTTCATAAAACTCACTGCACCCTCAGGAGGATACAGTGAAAATCAAGGGTATGAAAAAGATAGGGTGCAGCCCAGAATCTGGTCAAAGATGACACCGAGACCTGACGCCCTGAGTGGTCAGGTGACTGGGCCGGGGTCCCTCAGCCAGCAGTGGGCAGATGTCCTGACTCT